CACCATACATTGTGACTATTTAAAGAACACTTTGATTTCTCAGTTATTCTCCACACCCATGTTCATTCATCTTCCAGTTTCATACCTGTGATTTTCTCCAGTAATGAAACATCTTGAACTTCCTGAGGCAGGGAGGCAATTTTTTGCCGCACCGTTGCATCTCCTGATGCTGCATTCTCCAGGTCTTGCAGGGCTTTGATCAAATCCTCGGTCTGCAAAACACGGTAACCAACATGGAAACCAGGAACTCTCAGGTCATTTCCTGGGGATGCGGCCGCTGCATCTGAGGTCACCGAGCTCTGAAAGTAACCGTTTCTGGAATATTTCCTCTGAGTCATTTTTAAACTCTTGCTTCCTAACACAGGGAGTATTCACTAGGTTCACAGTACCCCAGTGTTTAGGAACTTACATGTAATTACAGCAGATCACCTCTTTCAAGACTCAGCAGTAGAAAACCTCTCATTCCAATCGGGAGAAGCGACTGATTCAAACAAAGCTGCCAAGGACCAGCCCTCAGCCCTCCGTGCTGCAGCAGGTTGGGACTATGTATTTTAGCTGAGACTCTGCTGAGCACCCCAACACTTCTCTTAGACTAGCAGGAGTGGATATGCACCTTCTTGCTCCATTCCAAGGGCACATTCTGCCACAGCAACAAACAAACGACAACAACAAAGAGCCCCAAACCAAACTTGTACCAATCCAAACAAAACTGTGCCAGATTTCCATCGTTTCAAGACTTAGAATTTTGCAGCTGGTTATCTACCATAAGCTTTGATGACAAAAGAATTTATTGCTCTTAAAGCAGACTTGCCACTGTCCTGATTTGGCAAAGCCATTGCCACCCGAGCTCAGCAGGGGCTCACTGCCAGCGCTGCGGCCCTGGCTCTTGCTGGGTTTTACTGCACTGGGGACAAACGCGTTAGTTTAAATGAATACCCTCAAAACATACCCTAGCTGAAAAAGGATGTAGATGAGGACAGCCTTAGGAGGAGCTCCCCTGACACAGCACCTGCCCTTGCTCCTCAAAAAAAACCCCCCAAAACCAAAAAAAAACAAAACAGGAGAATGAGACTCCCTGAAAAGAAAGCAAAAAAGCAATGTTTCTTTGTTTTAAAAATTACTGAAGTTTTAATGGGAAGTTTTTGAAACTGGGCCTGTAAACACCATCACTGATGATTAAACTACATTTCAATAGTTTTAAAAAGTTTAAATAAATATTATTTTAACCTGAAAAATAAAAAGTGCCCATTGCCTAATACTTACTACTTCTTTGCAAACTGCTAAGGATTGCCAACAGTAACAAAGACAGTGCTTAGCATCACAAGAAGCCGTAAGCTGCAAGGCATCTGGAGGTGAAGGCAACAAAAAACCCCACTTACTTCTTTGACAACTGTGTTTTATTTTGTCACTGTTTACAGTCTAGCAGGCGGATGGTGTAATTTTTTTACTCTTTTCAAATAGACAATGGTTTAAGGTATGTTCATTTTGTAGCCTCAAAGGATCAGAACGATCCTCTATTTCACTCCTATTGCTTCCACACCACTTAATGTGTCAGCCTCAAGGTCTTCAGAACTGGCTTTCCTACTCAGCTCAACACAAATCTATCCAAGGTTGAGCTTCTTAACAGCTCAGGAAAGAGAGGTCCTACAAAAAAGAAGTTTTAACCATGTTACAACTTTGTGTTTGAGAGATTACACACTTGTCTTAGAAAGGAATTCAAACCACGGTGTGTTCCTCTGGCAGCCCTGTGGGATTCCTTCCCGGCAGCACTGCTCACACCTCGGGTGAGACCACCCAAAGTCCCTCGGGAGCTCCTGCAACCCAAAACAAGTGCCTGTCCCACGTCACCCCGAGCTCTCGGCCCCACCAGAGGCATTTCTCTTGTTGGCAGCTCCACCTCGTGGCTGCACCACGCCCAAGGGGCCTCGGACCTTCCCCAGAGTCCCAGGACAGGAGGGGTTGGGAGGCACGTCTGGAGATCACCCCACCCAATCCCCCCACATACCAGCAGCGGCCCCGCACTGGGGTCCTGGGGCGAGTAGCTCCCGGGGTAATCATCGTCTTCTTCCTCTTGTATCTGCTGAAAAGTCCGCTTTAAAGACTTCTTCTCCTCTGCAACTAAAGACACAAATAAGCAACTCATTTGGAGGCCAGATCTGTCCACTTTGACTGCCTCTGCTTCAGAAAAATGGTACCAGATGCTCTGATGACTACGCTCTCTACGGAGAAGGATGCCCACAGCTGGACTCTAATGTTGGCATCATATTGCAAACACGCAAATGCAAAACAGCAAGAAAAGTCTGATTTTGCCCACCCGTGTATGTCTGGAGATGCCAGTGCAAGGACATAGTCTTCACATCAGCAGCGCACACAGTACACCTATTTGTGCCTCTGACACTACAAGCAGAAAAGGCAAGAAAATGTCCCATTTGTCACTAGGTGTCCAGTCTCCAACCCTACTCAGATTCTTTGGGTAATACCATTTCACAGGCGAAGTTTTGTACCAGCAGAGCAGAAGCGCTGCTGCTAAGATACAGACAGACATAAGAATTTCAGGTTATCTTCTCGTACCACATATATGCTCACTGTGGTCCCACAAGCAACTAAATAACTGCTGGTTTTCAACCTCATTAAAAACTTCAGGACAGCTCTCTGAAACGAAAACTCTTGAGATGTGACAGCAACAACGGCAATGGGCAGAGCACAAACCCATCTCCAGGCAGGTAACCCCTAACACTTCAGAAGCAGGGATTTCATAAAGCCAGACAGCGTTGGTTAAAGCAACTTTAGCATAGAGTACCTGGTCTCCAAAGGTAAGAGACAGTTTACTTAACGAGTCAGAGTCTTAGCACAGCCTTTGATCCAGTTACAGAACTTTCACAAGGCAGATCATTCTTCAGACTTGTCACCAAAATTAATTACTGAATGGAAGGCAAACAAGCACAGGAAAGTTACCTCAAACCACATGAATTGTTGATGTATGCTAGAGCAAAGCTATCTCAGCTAGAAAAAGGGACACTGCAAGTACCGTACGTATACAACTGATGTAAGAGAGCATTTGATAATCCGACTGATGAGCAAGTAGAATAATAGATCAACGAGAAAAACTGCTGCTGCTCACCGACGTCTGCAGAAGACACGAGTTGAACAGAAAACGTGCAAATGACCAAATGGCCAAAGGTAGCACTTAAAGCTGGGCAGCCCAGAACATGCCATTGGCATCTATCACTATCACTGTGAACTTATCAGCAAGTAATTAATGATGGATAAACACAGGATAAACACCAGAAGCACGTGTGACGACAGCGCACACGCCGGTGAGAAGGACAGCGAGAACTGGGGTTCGAATTGCCGAAGAGCACTCCTGCTGTGTTACCGGCTGGTCTCTACCACAAGACACAGCGCCGCGCTTGCTCACAACACAGGGCGTTCGGCATTCATTGAATTTGCCATCCGAACAAGATCAAGCAAGTTTGACTGGAAACAGCCCAAGGAAGGTAGAGGCACAGACGCCACCGTCCCAAGCACCAGCTACCAGCTGCCCTGCTCCTGGGACGCAGCGGCCGGCAGGCAGAGGAGCACAGCCGAGGCAGCCGGCTTGGGAACAGCATCTTGGGCACGAGCACAAACATGGACTATTGCACTTCTCCCCTCGGCACTGATAAACATGGGCAGCAGAACACCTCCCTGAAGAGTCCTAGAAACACCACCTGCATTTCATCAAAACAGAAACATGCCCAGACATTTTCAAACTCAAGAGCATAGGATGGAAGAGGACCCTGAAAGGGAACAGCAAGCAAAGCAGGAGTTAGAACACACCCTGCCCGGGCAGCCCTCAAAATCTGCCAGCCAGGAGTAATTTAACCATCAGTCTACACTTCCGAAAAAGCCCATTAAATCCAACGGGAGAAGAGGAAAGCAAGCATTAAAAGCATCTAAAACTGATCAGAATTCAATAACGGTATGTAACACATGTCTCTGGAAACAATCAGGATATCTCTGTAGAGTATGGACGGCTTCATCGAGGAAAATAAGGAGCCCATTCTTGACACGGACATAAAGAAGACAGAGAGGCCACTATCAGAGATCAAGTCAGCTCTCCTGCTTCCTTGGGGTCTTCTTCACAGCTCAGAAATTAATTCCCTAAAAGCCTTCAAAGAGCAAGGCACTTCATTTCTCCAAAATGACAGACAATTGCCGTCACAACAGCTTTGCAGCAAAACTCCAGGTGGTTGTTACCGTGCTGTTGCAGTGTCCAGAAAGACTCATAAAGCTATTTCTCCATCAATTTTTCAGTCTTCAGACATCTCCGGTGGCTCGAGGAAGCTTTCAGTGTCACAGGCCTATGAAGTACGAGTTTCTCCTGTAAGCTGGCAACACAGGAGCTCTGCCCATCTAGGGTGTTCACCTTTCTGTTCTCATCTCTCGACGACTGGTTTTAGAGATAAAAAGGCTTCTTCGATGGGACTCCAGGCTCATATGCACAGTAAAGAGAAACCAACCATTGAATCTGTATACACACCTTCAAAAGGATAACTAGGGGTTTAAAACTTTGCTCTGTTAAAACCAGGGGAATTATGTGTTTTGGGGTTTTTTTTTAATCTCAAGGCAATATAAAATTATTATTTTCTCTCATGAGGCCCTGGTTACCCTCATCTCCTCATTCAAGCACCTGCCACTTCCCGTGGTAAGGAATTCCCCACGCAGATAGTGCCTTTAGCTGGAGGGAGCTATGCAAAGGGTTCAGATAAAAAAAAAAATAAAATACAAGAAAGCCCGTAATTCACATGAGGATTATCAGTCTCGGCACAGCTCCATCACGTGTCTTTTCTGACAGTTAAGCACCATTCTATGACAAGTTGCATGAGCAGAAACTTGTGTCTACAGGGAAACGTGCAAGGAAACAGCTTTAACAGACACTGTGGTTCTAGAATAACAGGCAAACCTGTAAAACAGGGGCTTCTGTTCTATAGATAACTCTTTACTTGAAAGGCAGAGCAGCTGAATTTAAGTGGTTTTTTCATGTCTTAGCAGGGGTATCATCCTCAATTAGCATAACAAAAAATAAGCCTCCCAAAACTGTAACTAAAACTAACCTTTTGTAGGCTTTAGGTTCCAAGCACCAGGGGTTTAGCAACTTGTGCAAGATCCAGGTGAACTTACATGAAACGCACTCTGGTGAAGTGATATAGGACAAAACATCGAGTACAACAAAAAACAACACCACCTTTCCCTAAAGAAAACATAGACCATCATCACAGAACACCGGGAGACACAGAAGAACAAATTAAGAGAAATATAATGGTCCAGCATACCCTCCAACTCTCTAACCCTTTGTTTCTTTCGGGGTAAATCACTCCTGATTGTTTACGTTCTCATTACAACATGCATTTGCTGGTAGCCTCAGAGCTGGAATCGATCTGCTCCAAAATTGCACCCAGTCCTGTCCCCAGGTGCCCTGATTTCAGTTACTCTTGGAAGCAGCCCTGCCTGCTCTCCTCTCCCACGTTCTTCTCCCTCTTCTAGTCTGGGTCTGACTCCCCAAGCAAGAAGTTGCAACATGACCACAAGCAGAGCAGAGGGGTGGCAGTTCAGCTCTGCGTTACAGCACGACACATTCGAGGACTTCCCTCAGCCACTTATCACAAGACAATAAGAAAACATGCCAGCTATATAGGTTATATTACCTAAGGATTTTATGTCAAACCCCTACAGACCTAGTTTTCCCAGGCTTTAAGATAAATGGGTGGTTCTTTTCTATTGCTTATATAAAGAAACATTCTAATACAAATGGGATTAATGAGAAAGCATATGCAAGCTTAATGAATACATTTAGAGTCAAAACAATATATCAGCGTTCCAAAGCTCATTTCTATATACATGCCTATTTCCTTAAGGAACCCAAAAGACTAAGCCACGGTAGTACACTGTGCCACTGAGGAAGTCAAAGCCAGGAGAAAAAAAAGAAAGCACTGGTACTGTTTTCCCCTCCGCAGGAAAAGCTTTGTACCTGTGCAGCCGACTCTGCTCCACAGCAGGAGCTCGGCACGTGCCGCCAACCAGATTGCTCTACATTTACCCGAGGCCTCGCTACTAATCAAACAAGAAACAAGCTGCACCACTGAAACGCGCATTGATTACCTTTAAAGGTGTCTTTCCTCACTGCTTTACTGTGCCCAGTTTCAAAACTCCGAGCGTGAGCGGTGCTCTCAAACCAAGCGGAGCCGTCCTGCTCTGTGAGCCCCCACAAGCCTGGGAATTTAAGGCACTACAACATGAAAAAGCTGCAGAGAGTAACGTGCAGAGACCTGTTGCCATACCCTGGGCTGAGGAAAAGAACACTCAGAACTTCAACGGCACAACCCTGCATCAGTCTACAGCCCCCAACGCCACCCATCGCTCAGCTGTGCCTGCCTCGGGTACGCACACACCCAGGAAGCCAGATTGGGTTTGGAGAAGTGGTGTGGCGTGGAGTGCCACGTTCACGAGAAATGTCACATCTCTACAGCACAAAACACTCTTGTCCCTCTTGCTCACGGTTCACCTGTCTGAAAAGGGAAGAGAGTAACTACAACAAAGTCTTCTGCCACATGAACGGTCGCCCGCCAGACACTGGGCAAACACCAGTTCATCTTAGAAACCCACGAAAATCCCACATGAAACTAGCACCTACCATTAAGAAGCTAATTTGAAAACGTGCCAGGCAGAACACAGACAAAAACTCGTGACAACTCTGCCGAGTTCTTCATGTTTCTTTTTCTCTTCGTTTGAAGGCGTGCACACAGCAGTTCTTAAAATACCTGTATTTCTTCATTCTGTTTCCCTGCAAAGGCCTGTTACACTTAGGAAGTGCACCCAGACAACACAAGAACCCCAACACGAGCCTCTTTCACAGAGAGACTGCTCCCCTCCCGCCACCCAGAGCGGTGAGTCTCTCCACCCTGACACGCAGAGACAGCCCCTTCGGTCAGGTGCGCCGGTTCCCCAGCTTTTGGGGAAAAAATGGCAATACCTCCTGGAAGTCAGGCTGAAACGATGGTAAGTCGGAAGGCCTCTGCTGTGAGCTGCTACAGCACCCACCTGGTAACTCTGCCTGAAGCAGCTCGTGTTAAAACACGGAAGGACAGCGCAGACGTACGACTTCATACGCACATCTCGTATTAATGCTCGGGTCTTCATAGTAATTCTGTACTAACTACTACCTCCAGTGGATAGAGCTCGCTTGTTTTCACCACCTACGAATGGCATCAGAGCACTCCGCTAATGACTAACCTGACTCTCAGAGCATCGTGCCTCTGTGGGGAACACAGCCAGATTTTATCAAAGCAGAAAGGTGATTTTAGCTAATTTAAAGACATAAACACTTCCTTTAGCTGCAAAGCAGACAAATATTCCCTTAACCACAACAACTCTTGACTTCAAATGAGCCTCACCTTCCACAGTCAGACATCCTGCTTTTCCCCTCTTTCATTCCAATGCTACCAGTTAAACACTTTCAGAAGCTACAGAGGTGGAGGCAGCACCTGCCAAAGCAGCACAAAGGCGCAGGGAAGACAACCCACTTCTACTCAGTTACTCACATCTGTCTCATGTGGTAATGAGGTTGTAACAGTGACATTCTAACAATGTTAATGATGCAAAGTTACTGTTTTCCCCAAACGATGTCAGCTGGTATATGAAAAACAGAGACCAGACAAGCTTCTGGACATATATTCCAGCCTTCAATTATTAAAAAGTCCTTGTTGAATCATAATAAAATATAGTAACTGCGCAAAATAAAACCATTAAGATGAGAATGCAAGCGCTAACAATAGTGAATGAACGATTTAATAACTCAGCTGACCACTCTCACAGATGTAGAGAGGGACAGTTTTAATGCTGAGGGTGGACGCAGCAGTTCCCTGCACCCTTGTCTTCACATGAGATGGCAGCCCTGGAGCATTCTGTCCGAGGACACAGACACCACCCTGAGCTAAGCTTTACCACCAGCCCCGAGCCACAGGGCAAAGCGCTCACAAACTGGAACCACAAGTTTAACCAAAACCACATTTCTCTCAACACAATCCCGAGGAATCCCCATGACCAGCTCAGGCAACGACGCAACTATGGGAGCCCAGAGCTCAACAACTCACGGGAATTTCAACAAAGCACACGCCAGTTTGAGAAACAAAATAAAGAACAGAACAAAAGCAACACTTATTTACCTTTAGGCTGAGGGCTGTTGGAGTCCTCCATAGAAAGCTTCAGTTGCTGGATGAACTCGCTGCCGTACACGCTCCGTTCCTGCCAGATGTTAAGCAATCGCTCCAAGGGCTTTTTGCAGCCCTCATCTGCTTCTCTGATCAAAGATTAGAAAAGAATTATAGCTCAGCTGAAAAACACTCCTTATGTTTTAACAGAGCATCTTCCAAACTAGCAGCTGCATCCACTGCAATACTTGCACGTTTGGAGAGAATCTTTCTCACATCATCTGAAACAAACGGTGTGAAACCCACATGTGGCCAATTTTCCCCATTTACCGAAACCAAAGCTTGCCTGAAAGTGCCCCACGTGTCCCCCCTGAGTGAGGGCAAAAGAAGTTTCGAAGGAGGAGATTTGCTGTTGTTCAGAATTTGCAAGAAGAGCTATCAAACACCGCCAAGCTGACACATTTACAATTCTGACTACTAACTTTAAGCAGCTGTCTCAGTCAGTAACATCCCAATTAAAAAGCATCATTAGCACTCAGAGGTACTCAGACAGTGCACAGAAAGCAAGACAGCCCACACGGCACAGCGCAACTCACGGGGAACCTTCAAGCTGTTTAATGGAGATAACAGGAATTATAACACTATTTAGAGAAAATCTTAACTAAATGATAGTTCCTTTTTGATAGGATGGTAGCTGCACCGCTTCTTCCCTCTTTTACATAAAATTCTTCCTTCACCTAGCAAGGAGACTAACGATCAGACGACCGTTAAAACCAGCAATACAGGAAAAAAAATCCGTGCTCAAACTAGAAACCTGATGAGAATCCAGCGACCTGAAATACCAGCTCTTTTCAAGTCTCCTGACCATGGGGAAGAGCCACTTACTACGAGCCTTTAATAAACATGTGCAACCACCCAGCTTCACTACTCCTGAACAGATCTGCAGGAGCTTTTGGTGACACTTAAAGCAAAGCACATGGGAGCTGTGCAGGAAACAAACGTGTATGGCTGTGAGGGGCTGACTGGCCAACAAGTTTGCCCAAAAAGAAATATTAATCCGGAATGGTTCCCAGCTGCAGGGCGGTCAGAATCCAATCTCTACTAGAGAGAGGGTGCAAGCACCCCTGAGACTTTAAAAAAATAACTAAAAAACCACCAAACCACAAAATCTGACTGAATTAAACTTTGTATGATAAGAATGCAAACCTCCAGAGAGAAAAGTTGAAGAAATACATAACAAAGCAACGTACCTGGCAACATGAGAAAAAGCATCCACAAGAACAGATTCAAACTCCCTGGTAAATTCAGGACCTTTCCTCTTGCTGTTCTGGATGACATCGTTTGCTAAATATAGGAAAGTAAGTTTCCTACTCGATTTTGCTGGGAAAGGGGAAAAAACCAAGAAAGAAAAAAGAAAAAAAAATCAAGAGTTTGCATTTATTTCTCACTTTCACTTAGAATTGTTAACGTGGTTTGCAAAGGTGCTTACAGCTTTTCAGTCTAAAACCAAAGTTCAAAATACTTCCAGGGAAACCAGAAGCCATCCAGTCAGGTAGTTCTTGATCTCCTTACTTCTGTTTGCTGGAGTTTTTTACTAACTAATTTATAAAATAAAGATGAGCTTTTTGAGCACAGGGACACCTCAACTCTGAAGACAGCTGCGTAAGAAATAAATTTGAAATGCATGATTAAATCAAGCTGCTCAGACCTATCAATGGATTAATACGACAAAAAATATACAATATTAATCATGTTATATTAACTTCAGGGAAAAAAACTTGGTATAGAACCACTTAATTCAAAAGAGAGTGAAATTGCAGGAGAAAGCTGTTGTGGAGACTCAAAAATCTTCCAGACAACGCTGAGCCAAATCAACACAAAACTTCTGCTGCACACCAGAACCGTTCCCATCTCAACACTGCCAGTTTCTATTTTACTGCGGCCACAATCGGTGGGAGACGCCGCTCTCCAGCCTGCACCGGCCACCCGCACGGGGCAGAGGACAGACGGGCTTATTTCCAGCAGCCCAAACACAGACCCTCCCCAAATTCACACTTGCTAACTGGCAGCAGTCAGGGAAGACACTCCAGCTGGGGCTGCTTCAGCTCCTCCAGCCTGCAGGGGCCGGGGGCTGCTGGGGGGAAGGCGCCGCTGGCTGGTCCCAGAGCTGCCCTTGGGGACAGGGAAGTGCAGAATGTCAGCGGCTGGAAGGGACGGCATCACCCCCGGCACTGTCGGGCTCTCTGACTTTTTTATGAAGCAATCTGAGAAGCTACTAGAAGTTAGCTTAAGTTAA